TTTGTTTTTTTTTCCTCCCCTAATCAGTGGTGATATTTGTCTGTCGGCCCACTTGGCGTTTATGGCGAGAGTCACCTCAGCTGAAGGTTTCTACCTGCAGGGAGTGTACTAGTGGCTACTGACAAGGATTAAATCTCTCAAAATTTACCATCATTTCATAATCCATTCTTCCTCACGAAAGTCTCAGTATAATTCATTTCGTCGTACTCTTGGGCCTCAGAACAATGACGGTGGATTACGAAACCCCAGATCCAACGCCAGATCACCTCAATCAGAACACACAAAATGGTATCCTGGCTCCTCAACAACCTGCTGTTCCTCCATTCTCTCTACTACCAAAGAGTGCTGGGTCAAAAGATCATATCCTAATAGCTAGTCGATTATGCGGAACTACCGAAGATGATGTTGAGGATGTTTATCCTTGCACAGTCGTGCAAGAAGCTCTAGTAGCGCTCTCTGTCAAGAACCCACGCACATACGTCGCTCGGTATGTGTATCGCCTGAAAGATGGCATCACTTTCGATAAGTTCCATGCTGCATGGGATTCTACTGTAAGAGCGCATACGATTCTCCGTACGAGAGTCGTGCAGCTTGGCTCTCAGGGTGCGATACAAGTAGTTCTGCGTCAGGGAATTGATTGTCAAAGAAGTAGCGATCTCCAGCAGTATCTCGTCGATGACTGCGCAAAAGAGACACCGCTAGGAGCACCGTTGGCACGGGCTGGCTTCATCCAGGGCGAGAAATCTACAAGCCCAGCCTATTTTGTCATCACTTTGCACCACGCCTTGTATGACGACTGGTCGCTGGCTCTGATTCTTAAGCATATTGAAGCTGCATATGCGGAGCAACGAGTACCAGATCAGTTCTTCTCCAGGTTTAGCTCCTACTGCATGGATGCTTCCAACGAGACAGCCGCCCAGTTCTGGCGCAATGAGTTCTCGCGTATGAATCCAACTTCATTCCCATCTCTGCCAGCCGAGTCGTATACGCCGGCAGCGACTAGGTCTCTCATCCAGACGACCGGGTTTGACGAATTCATGAGCTTTGACGGTCTATCGACGACTGTCACCATGGCCTGGGCAATTCTCATCTCCCGTCATACGGCGTCCGAAGAGGTGGTATTCGGGCTGACGGACACTGGCCGACGCGCTACAATGCCCGGTGTGGAATTGATGAGCGGCCCGACGATCGCCACGTTCCCCTTCCAGGCCCTCGTGGTCGATAGCCAACCAGTTGCCGACTGCTGGAACCAACTCCATGCCCGTCGAGCGGAAATGGTTCCGCATGAGCAATTCGGTCTCAGTCAGATGCGCATGCTATCCCCAGAAGCCGCTGCGGCCTGTAAGTTTCAGAGTCTGATTGTCTTGCAACCGAGACGACGGGATGATTACTCGCTCTTCGCCGAAGTCACGCACGACCAGAATCTAGAGAATCATGCCACGTTCGGAACATACCCGATCACTCTCGTTGTAGAGCCGGCAGGGTATTCAGTCAGCGTGCAGGCTGTATATGATCACAATATCGTGCCCGATGCTCAGATGAAACGGCTGCTTCAGCAGCATTCCCATATCATGAAATGGGTCAATCGCAGAGATAATACGCGCATCGGTGATATTGAGGGCTTATGTCCGGAGGATCAAGCCCAGTTGCAGATGTGGAATAGTCAAAGAGCGCCTGAAAATATCCAACGATGTGTTCACGACTTAATTTCGGGGTTGTCGCGATCTCAGCAAGATGCTACTGCTGTCTGTTCCTGGGATGGCGAGCTGTCCTACGGCGAGCTCGAAGTCCTGTCAAATGGCTTCGCTGCGCAACTGTTGGAAGAGGGTGGTATAAAGCCGGACATGATTATTCCACTGTATTTTGAGAAGTGTAAATGGACCCCGGTGGCTATTCTAGGTGTCATCAAAGCTGGCGCTGCATTTGCCTTGTTGGATCCTGGCACGCCGCTGGCGCGATTACAGACGATCTGCGAGAGCACTAGAGCATCATTTGTCGTCTGCCCTCCAGAGTTGGTATCCCGAGCAAGGGAGCTGACAGGCAAGGTTAGTGTGCTTAACACTGATGACAATAGCCTTGCAACTCTGGCTCCCAGCTACACTGGGTCCGATGTCACATCATCTAATATCCTCTACGTTGTGTATACCTCTGGATCAACAGGCCAGCCCAAAGGAGTTGTCATCGAGCATGGGGCATTCTGCTCGAGTGCGCTGCTTACATTAAAACCGCCGAGATGAATAAGGAAACTAGAGCCCTGCAATTCGCATCATACTCATTCGATGTGAGCGTCACCGATCATCTAGCGACCCTGCTCGCTGGGGGCACAATTTGTATCCCCTCGGCCGAAGATCGGATGAATGACATTGCCAGTGTCATTAACAAATTCCAGATTAACTATGCAGACTTTACCCCATCCTTCCTTCGTTCTCTCCGTCCTGAAGATATGCCGACTTTGAAGACAATTGTTGTAGGAGGGGAGGCATTATCGCGAGCAGTGATAGACATCTGGGGAAACCATGTCCGGTTACTCAATATCTATGGACCGGCTGAATGTTGTGTTCTTACTACCATCCAGCCTCACATCGCCCTGGACTCAGACCCGTTGAATATCGGATTCGGCACTGGGGCTGTATGCTGGGTCGCCGATAGCAACGACCACAACCGTCTGGTACCTATTGGTGCCGTTGGCGAGCTGTTAGTCGGAGGACCAATCGTAGGACGGGGATATCTGAATGATCGCCAGAAGACAGAGGCTGTTTTCGTTGAGAACCCGGAATTCCTGCGCGGGTTTTCACCCTCGTCACCACAAAATCGCGTGTACAAAACAGGCGACTTGGTGCAATACGCACCAGATGGATCGCTTCGATTCCTAGGCCGAAAGGATATGCAAGTGAAGTTGCGTGGCCAGAGAATTGAACTCGGAGAAATTGAATACTGCTTGAATCAATGCTTTGACATCCCCGGTTTGGTGGTGGACGTGGTGAAATTCAACAGTAACACAGCCGTTCTTGTTGCCTTCATCCTTCGAGAGTCTGTCGGGACGACAGATCCAAATGAGCTTTTCCATATCCCTGACGACGTGTTCCGGTCCAGTGTTGCTCAGGCAGAGGCACATCTCCGTACTCAGTTGCCGGGGTATATGGTCCCAAGTTTGTTTGTGCAGCTAGCCCAAATGCCCACGACCGCGTCCGGGAAAATAGACCGAAAACGATTGAAAGAGTACACGGCTTCTCTATCTCTGGATGATCTGCAGAAATATACGGCCGCAAAGCATGACAAGAAGCCCCCATCAACCGAGCACGAGAAAGTCATCCATGGATTTGTGACTCGCTTACTTGGTCTGAAACCCGAGGCAGTCGGCGTGGAAGACACTATATTTAGTTTAGGAGGAGATTCAATCACCGCGATGAGACTTGCTGGATTGGCGATGGAGCAGGGTTGGGTGATGACCGTCGCGGATATCTTTGCGTCTCCAAAGCTTTGTGATATGGCATTGAAGATGCGAAGGTCCCAGCAGACGGACAAGCAATATCCGCCTCTTTCCCTTATTCAAAACCTGGAGCTGGGAAATAGTGATAGCATTAAGCAGGAGGCCATAGGCCAGTGCCATGTCTCCGGTGACGATATTGAGGACATCTATCCCTGCACCGCTTTGCAGGAAGGAATGATGTTTCTGTCCCTCGCTAATCCCGGTACTTATATATGCCACTTTCTCTATACAATTCCGCCTGAGATGACAGATGAGCAACTGCAACAGGCCTGGAGACAGACAACTAAAGCCAACACTATTCTGCGGACCCGTTTCTTCCAGGCTGGCTCTCGGTTATACCAGGCAGTCATTCGCGACGATCATGTGACATGGGACAAGCCGGACGACTTGGAGGAGTATATCGCCGAAGATATTCAGCGCCAGGTCGATATGGGCGAACAGCTCGTCCGTGTTGCGACTACCACGACTTCCGACCAAACTCGCGTGTGGGTTCTGACATTGCACCATTCTCTCTGCGATGGATGGACCGTCCGGCAGCTCTTGGAGCAGACAACAGCTGCATACAGAGGGCAGACCCTCCACGAGCGACGTTTTAGCTCGTTCATCGAGTATGTTCTCGACAGGGGCAACGACGAAACACAACAGTATTGGCAAACCGAATTCGCCAACCTCGACCCCCGTGCTGCCAGTTTCCCGCCCCTTCCCTCAACACATTACGCTCCCCAGGCAGAAGAATCGCTAACATACCCTATCCTGAATCTCACCGACAAGGGCACCGAACATACGTTAACGCCGTTGATCCGTCTCGCCATGGCGATGGTGCTGTCACGATATAGTGGATCCACTGATGTTGTCGTTGGACTCACGACATCAGGGCGTAGCGCTTCCCTACCTGGGATCAACACAGTCACTGGTCCAACCTTAGGCACATATCCCATGCGAATTCAACTGCGTTCATCTGAAACAGTCGAAAACGTCATGTCAGAGATTCAAGCAAACTCCATTCGCGTACTTCCGTTTGAGCATTTTGGTCTTCAAAACATCCGCAACGTAAGCCCGGATGCCGCTCGGGCCTGTCAGTTCCAGACATACTTGAATGTCTGGCCAACCGTTGAATCCGAGGCTCCAGAGCCTTTCACTCTATACCAGGATGGCTATTCCGGTCATGCTGCGTTTGGTGGCTTTGCCCTCGCCATGAGTTGCATGCTGGAGCCACGGAATGATGGGTTTACCGTGCTAGCCAACTACGACCCACAAACCATCACGCACGACGAGCTCACCACGTTCTTCTCTGAGTTCGAGCAGGTGGTTCGTCAGATCTGGTCGGATCCATCTCTTACCATTGGTCAAATCCTAGTAGGAAATTCACAAACGGGCATCAAAGAACCGCTGGTCGTGGGTTCAGGGCTGCCTGGTGATGGTGACGCCTCTGCAGAGGTTGAAAACTCTGGCGACATCAGCCAGGCTCCAGTGAATGAAACTGCGAATATTGTTTGTGAAGCGGTTGCCAACGTTCTAAATGTAAGCATCGACAGCCTCAAGATGCGCGATAATTTCTTCCGAATCGGCGGTGATTCCATCGCAGCTATGCAGGTCTCCGCGAAGTGTCGTTCGCGAGGTCTTCTTCTCACTGTGGCCGATATTTTCCAGAAGAAAACTATCGCAAAGATTGTAGAAAAAGCTATATTGGCCCAAGGCAAGGATGGTGTTTTGCACAACGAAGCAAAGATTGATACATCTGCCGCCTGGGACGCGTTAGTCAGTGGCAAACTCCCAGCTCTGGGCGTTGTGAATGCAGAGGAGATCGAAGAGATTGTCCCCTGTACGCCACTACAGCAGGTAATGTGGTTGACTGGTTCGAGGGAGAACGGTTACTACCAACCACACACGGTATGGGAGCTGATCGCAGAGGATACATCGAGGCTTGTGGACACAGACAGACTTCGAGAGGCGTGGATGTTGTTCGTCAGGCGCCATTCAACATACCGATCGCTTCTGGTGACTGTTCAACAGTGTGCGTATCAGGTCATGCTAAAGGAACCATTCAGCGACAATATCTCAACCGTCCGATGCACCGCCGCGGATCTTCAAACTGCAATTGCGAAACAGAAAGATACCCCCTTGTCTAATCCGCATGTGCCGTATCGACTGACCATCTTCGAGACCGATGCGGACAGGGCATTCTTGATGATGGAGCAGCATCACGCACTAGACGATGCTGTTTCTTCTTCCATCTTCGTGGACGAGTGGTCACAGATGTATGGAGGAAATACGCCGGATGGCACACCGGTTCCGTTTAGCAAATATATTGCCAGCCTCCATTCGTCCTCTACAGTATCCGACAAGACGTTCTGGACAGAGTACCTGAAGGATATATCCCCATGCCTTCTGTCCTCGCACGATAGCCCCATCCATCGCGGCAACCTTCACTCCACCAACATCCAGCTCGACCACATGCAAAATATCACTCAATTCTGCACCGCACACGACATCACCATAGCAATCTTCTTCAAATCTCTCTGGGCCGCACTCCTGCAGCGCCTAACCAATCTAACAGATATATCCTTCGGTTATCTCGTGTCCACACGAAGTGCACCAGGCGTCGAAGCCACCGGGTCTACTGGGTTCTACCTAAATATGCTCATCCAGCGACTGAACATCGACGAGACTACCAAGATGACAAAGGTCCTCGACATCATCCAGGAAGACCACGGCCGGGCTCTCACTCACCAATCCCAATGGCTAGAAGCACTAAACGCACCTAGACCAAGCCGAGTTTTCAGCACTCTCGTCAACCACCGCAGACATGCTATCGATACTAAGGAAACTAGGCCGCTGCGGTTCGAACCTGTGGAGTGGTCTGATGGGATGGACGTAAGTATTTACCATGTGATAGTGTGTGTTATGTTGAAGTTGACTTATTGCTATAGTTCGATATTGTGTTTGAGATTGACGAATCTGAGGACAATTTACAAGCCACCTTGACGTATTGGGATGGCAGAGTACAGGAGGAAATGGTTGCGAGGGCTAGTAAGACGTTTACTGGACTCCTTTCCGCGGTGATGGAGAATCCCGGGCAGGTACTTGGGGATCTATTGTAAAAGAAACAAAACGAGGAAGTCATGCAAAACCTTTATGTTTCTACCTATCTATTTTAGTAGTTATACACTCCCTGCAGTACCTAAATTATAGCTATTTACTACGTTATAATTTTCTTTGCATACGTTCCGAAAACCATCACCACTCCCCCAAAGCCCTAACAAGTGAATGCAACAATCCATAAAAGAATATTAAATCATATTTGCAGCTTATATCAAGTATCAATAGGTGATGTTGGCTTTCTTGCTAGCAGCAATTGGTAATGTTCTTAAGCTGTAGTCAACATGGGCTAAACTTGTACCTCGGGTCTGGTCAACCTATGTTTTTAAATCGCATTGACATATACAGAGACAGAGATAGACATATATATTTGCCATTTACAGGGCTGGGGTATCGGCAGCAACATGGCCCATCATCCTGCACAACAGGTTAACGCTCACTCACCAACTAGAAAGAAGGGAGTGGAGATGAAGAAAAACTTACTCTGCAGGGTACCGAGTGCCAGGAACCTCTGTTCGCTTGATCAACTCCCGGATAGTGCTCACCTCCTCGTCCGAGAGTTGAATCTGCGCCGACGCAGAATTCTCATCCATACGAGCAATGGCCCTTGTCCCTGGGATGGGAATAATATCGGGCCCCTGTGCGAGCAACCATGCAATCGCAATCTGGGTAGAAGTGCTATTGTGCGCCTTGGCCACATCGTTCAGTCCCTGCACCAGCTCCAAGATCTTGGGAAAGTTTTCCTCCGAGTACTTGGGGAGGAAACGGCGGAAATCATTCTCGGGAAAGTCGGCCATGGACTTGATCTGGCCGGTCAGGATACCACGACCGATAGGGCTGTAGGCTACAACGGCAACTCCTAACTCGCGGCAGGTATCCAGGATATCAGAGTTTGGCGATTCGATGTCGAGGGCGAAGGGGCTGTATTCTATCTGGAGAGCGGAGATTGGGTGAACAGCGTGGGCTCGACGCAGTGTTGCAGCTGAGACTTCGGAGAGACCGATGTATCGAATCTTCCCTTCACTAAATTTTGAATATGGGTTAGTGTCAGGTGGTTTTGGTTGCTGGGTTAGCGAACGGGGGCCACCTACTTCTTTAGTTCAACCAGTGCCTCAATGGTCTTCTCGATTGGTGTCACCCCATCAACTCGGTGACAATAGTACAGATCAATAGTGTCGACGTTCAGTTTCTTCAGGGACCTCTCGCAAGCCAATTTGGCATACTCGGGATCCGAGCGAATAGTCAACCCCTTCCCATCGAATGCCTGAACAGCGAACTTAGTGGCAAGGAAAATGTCATTGCGCTTGCCGGACCGCTTAATCCACTCGCCCACGATTTCCTCACTGCTGAGGTACATGTCTGCTGTGTCCCAGAAGCGCTGACCAGTGGCATATGCATGATCTAGGAAAGCAACTCCTTCCTCAATAGAACTAGCAGCACCGTAGATCCCGCCGATACTCATAAGACCTAGGCCAACAGCGTTGACCTGGGGGCCGTTGTGGCCGAGGGTTCGAAGTGGGGGAGACATTGGTAGGCGCTTGGCAAAGTGAGGTATTTACTAAGGTGATATTAGGGCTGAAGGTGTGAATCGAATATAGGCTTGAGAATACTTGCGGTGTGTGTGTGGTGTGTGTGGGAGATGAGGGGCGAAGATGTCTAGCCTTTAAATATTGGTCTTGTTAGACGGAACAACCGGATCAAGGACCGTATGGATCGTTATTTCCGAACCTTTCGATCATTTTATGACCCCCAGCTCTTCTATAGAGATGCCATTCGACGGACTTAAGCTTAAAGGCGGAGCCAATCACGACACTGCAGTAGTTGCTAGATCCACTCTGTGGTGGAGGAACCAATCATAATGCAAAGTTTCCGAGCCAGCCAATTCGAACTCCGCCCTTGTGATGGCCTGAGGTCTTCTTTCTACGTAAATCAACTCTGGCCAACTGGCGCTTACTCTCGTGGCGACTTGTTCGTCATCTCAGCACTACTGAGACGGCTCAGAAATATGTCCACATCAATGAGACATATAGCAGAATCTACGAACAGAAGAAAAGTCAAAACGGGTTGCAGGACATGCAAGTCAGTCCTCCTCACTACCATCAATCATCCTCAGAGCTAGGCCGTTGAACCAGCTAACAACGCCACCAGAGCCCGCCGTGTAAAATGTGACGAAGGTCGCCCAGCCTGTCGCCGCTGCATTTCTACGGGTCGCACTTGTGATGGCTACGGCATCTGGGGTGGCGGGGGGAGCCCATATGGCCCACCACAGGTCAACAAGGAACTATCCATCTACTGCACGCCGGTACCAGCTGGCTGTCTAACGCGGGAAGAGCAGACTTGCTTCGACTGGTTCATGAGTAGAACAACAACAAAATTTGCAGGCGTATTTGCCTCACTGTTCTGGGAGACTCTTGTCTTCCAAGCCAGCGCACAGGAACCCGCCGTTCGACACGCCGTGGTCGCCTTATCAGCAGCTCATCGCTCTAATGTCAGCAGCGAGTCTATGCCGGCGATGTACGGCATGGATGCGGAGCGATTCATATTGCTACAGTATAATAAGGCAATTCATCATTTACGCGCTGTAATGACGGGTGGATCATCCAAAAATGGCCTCCGCGTCACCCTTATTACTTGTATGCTTTTTGTCACACTAGAGTACCTGCATGGTCAACATAAAATGGGCAGTGCGCATCTAAGGTACGGCATCCAGCTTCTGGCCAATATTCCTGCGCCTGCACCGCGTACTTCTATGGCGCCAAGTATACTTAGCCCGGCGGAGGACTTTGTGCAAGATGCCTTGGCTGAGTCGTACGCTCGTTTGATGATTCAATCGGCGATGTTCGGTCACGTCCCGTCACATCTTTGCGTGATTGTGCGAGATCCGCAGCTTTACGCCCTTCCTTATAGATTTTCCTCTCTTGTCGAAGCAAGACAGGCCCTCGATGATTTACTTACTCGAATCTACTGTCTGGAACGACATATCTATTCAGTCCCTGCAGATGATGGTCCGGGAACGGACCCGGAAGCCTTCGAGACGCAGTGCAGAATTATGGCAGATTTGTTGCTCTGGGGAAAAGCATATAATGCTTCTTTATCTCTCAAGACTGACGCCTGTAAGGAGAAGATTGGTTTCCTTCTTCTCCGGGTATACTATGAAATGGCTATGATCATGGCTTCCGTTTGTCTTTCAAGGGAGGGGGAGATGGTATTTGATGCCTACATGAATGACTTTGTCGGTATCATGACCGCTTTCTTTGATATGCGGCGTTTCTGGTCGACAACTAGTCTCCCCATTAAGGAGCAGCACATGGCATTCCAAAATGGCCAGTCGGAGGGCAACGGCTATTCGTTCACGATTGAGTCAGGCTTCATCCCGCCAATTTATTATACCGGACTGAAATGTCGGGTTTTGAAGATTCGTCGGTTGGCAATCAGGTTGTTGAGGGCGGCACCACATCGAGAGGGCTTGTGGAATGGCCACTGGTGGCGGACGTTCTGGAAGAGGTTGTTCGGGTGGAACATGGCAGCTTCCATGCTGATGATGATCCGAATCAGGATTTAGATGAGCGACTCAATGATGCTGATTTTCAGCTGGAGAAAGACGGTTTGCCTTCGCCAGATGTGCCGGCTGAGTCGCGGATTTCGGATGTTGAAATTCTCCTATCGGACGTTGTTGATGGGGACACATTTATGAGTTATAGGCACAAGGGTGAAGATGGTCAATGGGCGAATTTTCATCACAAGGTCAACAGGACTAGGAGACAATCTTGGTTAATATTCTAGAAAACAAGAGCGAAATGTAAATATTATTCAAATCTGTACTACGGGACATTGTAAGTAAAACTATGTATTCTGGAAAACTTCAGTCGCGGTGTAATACTGATGTGAACTATTTTCATTGAAGTGATTCTATCAAAACTATCACGCGTTCCACTTAGCCACCACAAAGGGTGCCAATGGAGGGACTCAGTTTCTGTATCACCCAGGATGAAAAAGCCACAGCCAAAGAAATGAACAATACACAACAATAAGAGGTCGGAGTAGGGAAAGTCATCAAAACTGGTCCGCGTTCCACCCACTCATGAAAACACGTCGAATAGAGGGACCTAGATTCAGCATGACCCCAACTAAATGACCCCCAAAAGAACAGAAATCAATCAACCAAAGGAGAAAAATGAATCCCAACAAAACAAATGAAAATAAGGGAGCGTGCTAAACCACCTGAGCAGCCTGATATGCAATACAATCTTCACTCTGCTCCGGCGCCTCCGTCATGAAACCAGTCTGCGTCCATACATCTCAATAGCCAATCCAGCCATAGAGGACCTTAAGTACCTTGCACAAGAGGAAGAGAGCTTTCATAGGCCGTCTCTTTGAGAACACGTAATTGTGCGGTGCTTTGGTGGCTGCAATCATCCGGAAGTTCCATTGCTTCCCATGTTGTGAGTCCTGCCTTCAGAGCTAGATCGCCAAATCTGTAGAGGGATAAGACCAACGTGGCGAAAGAGCCCTGCAGAATATGTGGTTGGACGTCTGCATGCTCTTCCAACCAGCGCTTTGCGCAGTTATCGTACACTTCACAAAGTCGGCCGAGGTCAACAGTGCCCTCGTGGTTGTCATGGGTGATAAGGCGTTCTTCATTTAATACAACATTGATGGCAAGGCCGGACATGAGATCGGAGATGGCTTCTATGGTCTCACCGAGGGTTAAGGATAACAATTCCTCGATGTGGTCCTTGAGAGAAGGGGGAGCATCGGCTTGGAGATCGGTGATGGCATTTTGTTTCTTTTTTGCAGCTGGATGAATGGAGTGGGTCATTTGGCGGGATATATTCGCATCATCTTCGGTGCTGCTGTCTGTGTTATCATCCTCGTCGTCCTCCGCGTCGTCCTCCATGTCGTCGTTCATGTTAGGGTTGCGAATCTACAAGCTAGTATCCATAGTTTGGTCATAGGTTGGGGTAGCGGACTCTTTTATAATGCATCCAGAGCCAATTCTTAGTCATAGTGGCATCCATCGGGGACATGAAAGCTCACTCTTTCTCCGATGAGCTCGTGGAGTTTGCCTTAGTGGCGGTGGTCGAATATTGAGTGACTTGGTATGATCCACCACTAGCCTGATAATTTCTCATAATATTTTGGTAATTCTATGCAGGTCAAAGAACTTCTCGTACATATACACAGAGAATAAATAGAGTCCTTCAGTTACGCACTTGGTTGGGAAGCCTTTATCTAAATGCGAAGACATAAAGACATGAATGTAGTAGAATGTAACAAAGAAGTCAGAAGGACTCAATACAATTTATTACAATGAAATACAATGATAAGTAGCTTTGCCTATAATGGCGATATCTAAGTACAAATACTTTCTACATGTCTCTTCTGCAAGGCTGGAATATACCAATGTTTATATTTCATCTCACGAGCGCATTACCAATAGTTGCACAAAAGTGCAAAGTCCTCCACAAGTATTGAACTTTGCAGGAAAGGTCAGGCATTATCCGATGATTCACTACTTCCCCTTTCATCTAGCCTAAACCTAGTATTAAGCTTATACCGGAGCTTGACTTCCTTCTAAACAAGAGTTATAACCAACCCTAAACCAGGCAAAGGTTATCGCCATGAGCCACACTGTACGAAGAGACTGTGCATAGTGTTATTCAGTAGACTACAAACCTATAAGGCCCAGCCAACATCCCTTTTGAAAGACTTGAATAACTTGTTCCCGAGAAACAGGGTCCTGAATGCTGTCTAAGAATGCCTTTGTGGAATATTGGTATGCACGACCTCCTATCAGATAATGAGCTAGGGCTGTTTCCGTGATGCTCCTTGCATGCTTCCGACATTGGTTGTTGTAAATGGCACTTGGGATCGTGACACCCCACACACTGCCAAAGCCCCGCGCAAAGCCCCAGACACCTGCACATACTGCAACCAGGCTTCCATCTAACGGGGCTTACATAGCTGGGAGGGTGATACCAGTCAGTAGGCCTGCATCAACTGAGCAGAGAAGTTGGAAGCACACCCAGGCAGCTGTACTAGAGCTTGCAGTGAGTAGGCTGAAAAGACCCATACAGATAGAGAGGGGAATAAAGCCGAGGAAGTGAAGTGGCTTATATCGACCGAGTTTGGATAAGAGTATACCTCCTATAATCGCGAATGGGAGGACGCCAGCAAAAATGGGTAACGTGTTGATGCCTATAATTTGACTGGTTTAATAGACACTCTAAATATGCAAGAGGACCGAGCACCACGCTATGGTTTCTATCTCACCTGAGCGCATTGCCGATGTACCTCGAACGGCCTGGAAATAGATAGGTAGGAAGTAAAATGTCCAATGCACACAAATCAAATTCGTGAAACATGAAATCAATGCAGCAAAAGAAATTCGATTGGAGACTATCCTGCGCTGGAACGATGGCTCCTTGCTAATGGTCCATTCCAACGTGATGAACAGTCCGATTCCGACGAAGCCAAGGACGATGGGAACAACGATATGATACGTTCCCCAGTCGTACATAGTCCCTCCCCAGGCCAGTGCGATAAGAAAAGCTATAATGGCAGCGATGAATATAGCATTTCCTGCTATATAAGGCCCCACTAATCTTTGTTTCCAAGTTTGGTCGCACTGAAAATTCATACGGAGAAATAGAAATAGAGAAATGAAGGCACCTACTTTCATGATGAGTATGTGCTGTCTTGATAGGACATGCGCTCGGCACTTACTACCGCCAATAGGTAAATTAAGGTAGAAAACCCAGCGCCATGTCGAGTGATCCGTGATAAGACCACCGGGGAATGGGCCGACGGCAGCCCCGGTAGTTGCAGTCATTTGGATCAGAGCCATGTACTTCCCCCGCTCTCGTAGTGGTACTAGATCTGTTAAAACAGGAGTTAGTGAAAGTCTCGAAGCAGACGGGATCAGCAGGAGTACCAGTAACGACAGTATTGATCAACAGAACTACTGCCCCACCTCCAATACCCTGTCTACTAGGATGATGAGCTTGCGGACAATATATTTGAATATCCGATACATACACAGTACGTGCGGCAACCAGCATCCGCGTTGACGAGGCGCCACCACATAGGCCACTGCCGAGTACAAACAAGGCCAAAGCTGTAAGAAGAAGTGGGCGGCGGCCAAAGATGTCACTTGCTTGAGCAACTAGTGGCAATATTGCCAATGAGGCTAAGAAGTAAGCATTGGGAACCCAAATGTATGAACCGGATCCACCAAGCGCTTCCATTATCGTGGGCAACGTGCTCGTGATAATGGTCCCTTCGATAGTCGATAGAAGACGAGTAAGGGAGAGGGCAATGATAATTGCCCAGAAGCGCCATGGATGTTTTGCAGATGCTTGCTTATTCGTTTTAGAGCGTCTTGTCCCGGCGTATTCTCCTTGGGATGCGACGCTCCCTGACATTATCACCACTTTGTAGCTAATGACAACAAAATGTTTGAGTCATACAAGGAAAGGACCGAAAGGTGTTGTCAGATATACCCTAGTTAAAGCTACAAGGGGACTACGTCTTCTTTATATGCCAAGCCGCGAATGATATTCGGGCTATTCGGTGAAAGTGGCCGAAAGTGCCCGACTTAAGATGATTATGCATGTAAGCTTCAACATAGGGCTAATGTAATCGATGCCCTGGAAGTCCTATAATCGTAGGAATACGAAAAGCAAAGTCTGATAGCTGAATTGAAGAAGCTACATGATCACAAGTTGAAAAGGGGGTATATGCTCATTCGGTGAGTAACTGGGAACTTCGGTGACTTTCCAAAGCAGGAAGTCCCCTGACAGGCAGCCAGTCCGTAGGAATGAGCTGTTGGTATAAACTGTCAAGTTCATGGGATGTCAAATAGTGTATAAGTTCGCATTGATTGATCGACTGATTGGTTAGTTATTATACTATGCCCGAATACTCTATACATCTATCTATACATAGAATACACTCCCTGTCAGGTGTCGTAGCCACGGTTAGTCCGATGAGAATGAAATCCTGGACCAAAAGAAAACATA